AACACAATATAGAAATAGAGCAAAGGAAATACGTGAGGAGAAATTGATGAGGAAATCTTTCTACAGCAAATTCTGGACTCCTAATTTGTGCCAGAGACTGGCTAGGGCTTTGGAGACTCAGAGAGCAAAATTGGATATTGCCACATTGCCACATTGTGTGTGTGTGTGTGTGTATGTGTGTGTGTGACTGTGTGCACGCATGCACGCGCATGCACACATATGTGCGCATGTGCCAGTCCTAGGGCTTGAACTCAACACCTAGGTACTGTTCTTGAGCTTCTGTGTTCCGGGCTAGTGTTCAACCACTTAAGCTCCACTTCAGGCTTTGAACTGTGGACCTCAGATAGCAGCTTCCTGAGTAGTTAGGATTGCAGTTGTGATCCATCAGTGCCTGGCCTTTTGTTTTGTTCTGTTCTTTTCCTATGTACCCCATTCACAATCCAGACCAGGCACAGGCCTGGGCTGAGGTGTATATGGGGTAGGTTTACTCTGCAGCCTACAGTCAGTGTAAGAACGCAGCCTGTGGGGCTGGGAAGTTGGCTCAGTGGTAAAGCGCATTGCCTTGCATGCCTGAGGCCCTGGGTTCGATTCCTCAGTACCACATAAGCAAAAAGAAAAAAGCCGGAAGTGGCGCTGTGGCTCAAGTGGTAGAGTGCTAACCTTGAGCTGAAGAGCTGAGGGACAGCGCCCAGGCCCAGAGTTCAGGCCCCGTGACCGGACCCAAAAAAAAAAAAAGAATGCAGCCTGTGGGAAGCACCTGGAGGCCTGGCCTTTTAAATAGGTCCTTGGAAAGTTGTCCAGCTCCCTGAGTCACAGCTTTCTTGTTTCTGAGGAAGGAGTCAAGCTTATCTGTAAGGTTGGGCCTAGTAAATGATCGTTCAGTTCAGTATTCTGGTGGGTTGAGAAGGGTTCATTGTATGCTGATGTTAGAGGTGAGTGAAGCAGCCAGCACTGTGAGTGAGCAGTTGCTTGGCAATGCTAGTGCTCTGGCACAAGTTTTGTAGGCACAGCTGTGGGAAGTGAGACACCTTAGTACCTCACTCATCCAGAATGTGAGTGGAAGGCCTCTAAGAGGTGGTGGCACTTGAAGCCTAGGAAAGGATTATCTGGAAAAGAAAGGGGGATGGGCATTCCAGGCTGGGAGAAATTTCTAGAAGGACACCCAGCTGTGCTAAAACTGCTCTTGGAGGGAGGGGTAGGGGGACCCTGAGAAGTGCAGAGTAGATTGTGAGGGAAATAAAGATGTCTTAAGTTCTGAAGAACATTCCACTTTGGTTTGATGGAGCCTTAGCTTGTGGTGGCGGGTGCTGTGTTCTGCTGCAAGGGGTTAAGTGGGAGTCAAGAATGGTCCCCCCCCCAACCCCCTGCAGTGCATCTGAGTGTACTCTTGTACACTCCTTGGAAACTCACCCACTGGTTTGGCAGTTGCTGCCAAATTCCACTGTCTGAGGGAAATGATCCCATTCCTTTCTGACTCTGAACATGAAACAATCAAGAATAAATACTTCTGTGGGTCCTGCAGGTCCTCTTTTAAAGCTTCAGACATTGGAAAACCTAAGATGGAGGGTGTGTGTATCACAGAGAAATACAATGGATGGTTGCTGATCTTGATTACAAGGGTTTGTGTAGCAAAATAATTGACTTCTAAGCTTGCTGTTAACCTGAAAATCCTTTTAAAGATTCCTTTGTACCAGTGGCCTTAATTGTAGAATCCTGCATCCTAGTACTTTTTACTGTGTGATAAATGAAATGCCTCATCCTGTCGTTTTTGTTGATGTTGAGATCTTACTAGACAGCTTAGGCTGGCCTCAAACCGGAAATCCTGTGGATTGTCACCATACCTGATTTATCATGTCAGTTATAGGAACAACTTTCTGAAGTATGTGATTTTTCACTTTATGCAAATGAGGAGTCTGAGGCTTCTAGAACTTGTAGTTGGTAGATCTGGGATGGACCCAGACCTTCTGATGCCACCATTGTTATCACCCAGCTGAAACTGTCCCATCCTCCCTAATTTTGAAGATTTGCTCTTTTTTTAATTTTTTTTTTTTTTGGTTAGTCATGGGGCTTGAACTCTGGGCCTGGGCACCGTCCCTGAACTCTTCAGCTCAAGGCGAGCACTCTACCACTTGAGCCACAGCACCACTTCCATTTTTCTGGTGGTTTATTGGAGGTGAGAGTCTCACAGACTTCCTACGCAGGCTGGCTTTAACCATGATCCTCAGATCTCAGCTTCCTGAGTAGCTAGGATTACAGGTGTGAGCCACTTAGGCCTGGCTGATTTGCTCTTTTTTACTGAACAAATTTGTGAAATTACTTTTTTGGGGGAAGGGGGGGGCGGGATCTGGTCATGGGGCCTGAACTCTGGGCCTGGGCGCTGTCCCTTGGCTCTTCAGCTCAAGGCTAGCGCTCTACCACTTAAGCCACAGTGCCACTTCCGGCTTTTTTCTTTTTGCTTATGTGGTGCTGAGGAATTGAACCCAGGGCCTCAGGCATGCAAGGCAAGCACTCTACCACTGAGCCACCTTCCCAGCCCTACCTTTTTTTTTTTTTTTTTTGCTTGTGGTGTTTGAACCTGGGCCTGGGCCCTGACCCTTTGCTCTTCTGCTCAAGGCTACCGCTCTACCACTTGAGCCACAACACCACTTCCAGTTTTCTGAGTGGTTTATTAGAGATAACAGACTCATGGACTTTCCTGCCAAGGCTGGCTTTGAACTATGATCCTCAGATCTCCGCCTCTAGATTAGCTAGGATTAAAGGCTTGATGTTTTAACTTTTATGTTTTTATATACCTTTTTCCTTTAAAACAACTAAATACTTTCTGGGTTTAACACTTATACCCCAGTATATTTTGTGTGTGTGTGCATGTGTGTATGCATGTGCAAGCACATGCTCATGCAAATTCTAGGGCTTAAACTCAGTGACTGGGTGCTGTTTCTAAGCTTTCTTCATTTATTTATTTAAATTTAAGGCTCATGCTGTGCCATTTGAGCCACAGCTCTACTTCTAGCTTTCTTGGTGGCTAATTGGAGAAAAGAGTCTCACAGACTTTGTGCTTCAGCTGGCTTTGAACAGCAATTTTCAGATCTCAGCTCCCTGAGTATCTAGAATTATAGATGTGAGCCTGGCTTCCCAATTGTTTATTTTTTTCTTCAAAAATTTTTAATCAATTGCAGAAAATACATAATATTTTAAGAGAATTTTATATGAAATATTTAAAGAATGGTGGACAATGAAGTCCTCTATAGCAGATGTAAACTAATTTTTAAAAAGAGAAGCTGTGAGCTGTTAATTTGTAACTACTCAGGAAGCTGAGATCTGAGGATTGAGAGATTCCAAGTCAGCTAGGGCAGACAAATCTGAGAGATTATTATCTCTATCTAACCATCAAAGAGCCGAAAGTAGATGTGTGGCTCAAGTAGTAGAACTAGAGGCCATAAATTTAAGCCCCAGTGCTGGCACAAAAGAAAAAAAAAATAGAAGAATGTTGAACCTGTTTGTTACATGACATCTGAAAGACAGTGTTGAGAGTCTGACAGTGGTACTCTAACAGGAAGGGGCCAGACCAAGATGGAATCCCCAGGAATGTCTCCAACTAGGCCTTACTACTGTTTCACTACCTCTCGATATTGCCTCAAGCTACCAAATTAACTGATTAGGAGAGAGCACTGGATTCCGTTCTTTCCCAAAAGCCCATCAGTTGGCTACCAAACAAGCTTCCAGTGCATAGTTTATTGGGGATAGTTTATATTCAAGTCATAACCGATTGTGGATAATAGAGCCATGGAAAATGGGGGCTGGTAATGTGGCTTAGTGGTAGAGTGCTTGCCTAGCATGCATGAAGCCCTGGGTTCAATTCCTCAGTAGCACATAAACAGAAAAAGCTAGAAGTGGCGCTGTGGCTCAAGTGGTAGAGCACAAGCCTTGAACACAGAAAAGCTCAGGGATAGAGCCCCTGAGTTCAAGCCCCGGGACTGGCAAAAGAAAAAAAAAAGAAAAAGAAAAGAAAATGTATGCTAGGGGAGAATAAACAGATTACTTATTAAAAAAAAAAAAGCTATAGCATAAATCAGTTTGGATTCTTTAATTTCTTCTGTGGTTTTAATATTTAGTATCTAAAAATAAATGACAGGAAGAACCCATATACTAATGTTTCCTGTCTTAGAATAGTGATTCCCTAAATGTGGTGTCAGCATTACCTGAGTGCTCATTAGAAATGAAAATTCTCACCTGGTCTAGAAAAGATGACCTGGTCTTCCTAATACAGAGGAGGGTAGGTGGGTGGGACAATTACCACAGATAATCATTCTGCCTCTTTACATCAGGATGAGAGTCTGGTGGGAATTTTTCCTACTCTTAATACATTATAGTCTAGCAATAGCACTGTTTATGAAAATATGGTTGACTGTTAATACTAACAATAAAAAAGCAATCATTGTTTGGCATGGTAGCACTCACCTATAATCCCAGCTACTCAGGAAGCAATAAGAGGATCATGGTTGGAGGCAGACCCAGGCAAAAGTATGTGAGAACCCATATAAACAAATTTAAAAATTGAAAAGTCCAAGTGTAGTGGCTCACACCTGCTGTAATCCTAGCTGCTTGGGAGGTGGAAATTGAGAAAATCATGGTTCAGGGCACAAAGTTAGTAAGATTCCATCTCAACCTATAATAAAAAGCTGAGTGTGGTGATAGACCTGTCATCCTAGCTACTATTCTACATCCTAGAGTAAACAGAATCACTATCCAGGTTTAATGATCATACATGAGAGAATCTATTAAAAAAATTAACAAAAGCAAAAAGAGCTAGGGAGCATGGCTCAAGTGGTAGACTGTTGAATCCCCAGTACTCATCACCAAAAAAAACGGATGCCGTCATTATAAGCAAATAGTATTTAATGAGCCAAGCCAATTTTAGTATGCAGTAATTTTCTTCCATTTTTCTCCTCTTTAAAATTACAAGGTAAATAATAACCATGCCTCTTGGGGTTGTTCTTTAGGTTAAAAATGTATCTGCAGGCACACAAGACATGCCCCCACCGCCATCTGACTACGTGGATGGAGTTGATAGTGCAATGGCGTATTCCTCCAATGGCAAAGTGAATGGTGGCAAGCGGTTATATCCAGAGTCTTCCTATAAGTCAACGCCACTGTAAGTAGCATCCACTTATTTGATGGAGAAAAAGTGTAAAAAGTATTTCCTATGTTTACAATGAATTGTATTGTGCTATTCTTTTTTGTTTTTGTTTTTTTTTGGTCCAGTTGTGGGGCCTGAACTCTGGGCCTGGGCGCTGTCTCTCAGCTCTTCAGCTCAAGGCTAGTGCTCTACCACTTGAGCCACAGTGCCACTTCTGGCTTTTTTCTTTTTTGCTTATGTGGTGCTGAGGAATCGAACCAGGGCCTCATGCATGCAAGGCAAGCACTCTACCAATGAGCCACCTTCCCAGCCCTGTGCTATTCTTCTTAAACTAGGTCCAACAGTACACACAAAATGTGGACACTGGTCCTTTTTTGGAGCCAGATACCTTTGCTCTGTTGGTAGTGGCCTAAGTGCTCCATGGAAAACTTGGATGAGGAGGATAGTATCCTCTTCCCTTCCTAGAGGAAATGTGCCTCTCGCTTGCTAATTTAATTAGCAGGCAAGGAATGAGCTTCTGGGTACTTGGGGCTGGAAATGTGGCTTAGTGGTAGAGCGCTTGCCTACCATGCATGAAGCCCTGGGTTTGATTCCTCAGTACCACATATACAGAAAAAGCCAGAAATGGGCTGGGAAGGTGGCTCAGTGGTAGAGCGCTTGCCTTGCATGCTTGAGGCTCTGGGTTCAATTCCTCAGTACCACATAAGCAGAAAAAAAAGCCGGAAGTGGCGCTATGGCTCAAGTGGTAGAGTGGTAGCCTTGAGCTGAAGAGCTGAGAGTCAGTGCCCAGGCCTAGAATTCAGGCCCCACGACCGAATCCTCCCCCCCCCACCCCCCCCTAAAAAAAAAGAAAAAGCCAGAAGTGGCACTGTGGCTCAAGTGGTAGAGTTCTATCCTTGAGTAAAAAGAAGCTTAGGGACAGTGCCCAGGACCTGAGTTCAAGCCCCAGCACTGGCAAAAAAAAAAAAAAAAGATTCTGGGTCCTTGTCTCTCTTATTTCTCGATTGAGATTTAGGTGATAGTAGAAGGAATGGCAAATATAGTTCTTGGTCTCTCTATTTGCTTGTAGTTATTAGATCTCATGAATTGAAGGGCAGAATGTATGTTTGTTAACCCTAATCATATGCACATCCATTTAACTAGATAACTACATTGGAATTCCAGACTTGTGGTTTATTATTAGTACATGTTTTTCTTTGCTGTAACAAAATACCCTATGCAGGCTGACTTCATAAAGAAGTTAGCTCACAGGTCTGGATATTCAAGAGCATGCACTGGCATCAGCTTGATTCTAGTGAGGGTTTTGTCCAGGGCATCAAAAAGGGAAGAATGAGGCTGTAATGAGAGATCACCGGGAAGCCAGACTGTATAGCCTGGGCTTGCTCTTTAAAAAAAAAATAAACTTCTTTAAAAAAAGCAAACTTCTCCAGAGAAGTACCTTAATCTCATTCTTCTAAAGGCCTTCTACTAAATGAACCCTTGAAGGGCCACACAATCCACTATTGCTACGATAAGGACCAAGCCTTCAACACAAAACCTTGGAGGAACACTCAAACCATAGCATCTGGTGTGTCTTACTGTGTGAGGCCCTTCCCACACTGGGGGTGTGAAATCTCAGTTTATGTGCTGTTTCTCCATCATGTACCCATACTGCATACCAGTGCAGCCACTATAGTTGATGTTTATCACCGTCTGTTAGTTTAGCATGTTATTGGACTTTATGTAAAGTGTAATTGCATGCTAATTACTCTCACATCTGCTTCCTTCTATGTGTCATAATGTCTGACACCTTACAATTTCAAGGCAGTGTGCCAATTAAAATGAATCCTGTACCAAAGAACACCTGAGTTTAGCTGAACAGGGTTACCATTCCACTCTTGTTAAGTGAATTTGGCAGGTCGCTATAGGTACTCTCCCTTCTGTCCACACCTATGGTGAAATAACCTTTGTAAATCAAGCCACTTGGATGCTGCTGCAGTGCAGAGCTTTGGAGTCAGACTAGCTCCTTACAGAGCCAAATGAGACCAATTATTGGTAGAAACACTGCAGAATACTGCAGCTTCTAGATTAGGTCCTTTGTCTCTGTGGTCTCAAAGAATGAATCCACAGACACAGAGGAGAAGCAAAACACCTAAGGTTTACTAAAAAAAAAGCAACCGATTACAATGCCTGCAAGATGGGAGGAGTGCCCAAGGGAGGGAGTCCCATGGGGTGTGTGTTGTGCAGGGGTTAGTAAGGTGTCTCCAGGAGAGAGCTACCTGACTCAATTTCATTGGACATTCCCTAAACTCAGAGGTTCCACATAGCCTGCGTGAGCTCTCCATGTGTTGTTTAGCCCCTGTGTTTAGTTACCCATAAGGACACATACTTCTGGGGTTCAGTCAGCTGTTGTTTGCTTGCAGTGGACCATGATGTGATATCCAGAGGCTCCCATGCAGGACTGCGCAAGGCCATAGTGAAAGATGCAGATGTCATTTCTAGGGACCCCAAACATAATTGTTCATGGTGATGTGATGTCAGGGGCCTGCACACAGGACTGCTAAGGCCATGGTGAAAGAAGCAGAACCTCTGTGTAAGGAGACCATTGCCCTGATTCCCCATCAGGCTCTTCTTCTTGTTTCAGGGTACACTGTTAGGACTTTGTCGGCAAGGTGTAAAAATGTAAAGTGCAGTTAAAATTAGCTTAAGCAAAAAGAGGAATTCACTGGCTATTCTAAGACCTGAAGATACAGGTAGCTTCGGTCATGGCACAGTCCAGAGGCGCTCGCTCATGTGTGGGCAGCTTAGTTCTATTCTCCGCACAGCCTCTGTTGTGATAGGTTGGCCAGCCACATTCCCCAAACTGCACTCATCATCCAGCCTAGTTTTGAGAAAATGAAGTTTCCTTTCACAAAGCATCCACATCACAAAGAATTCTTTGTCCGTTTGGGTCATTGTCATTCCATGGCCAGGAGGAGTTCTGTGACTGGTAAGTCTCAGATTATGCCTCTAGTGATGGTAGCAGTTCTCAAATACCACATATGTAATGAGCCTCATTCAGATAGTCACTGCACTGATGTTGATCACTGTTGTTTATCTTCCTCCACCGAGACCGTGTCATCATAAAGGGAAGATCCTTGCGAGTCTCTTCTTCAATTCAGAGATTAACTGAAACCCCTGCCATTTGCACAATACTGAGCTGGGTGCTCTGGAAACACCAAGCTTATGTTCTCATACACTTACAAAACAGAGTTGGGAGAAAGTCCACAAGCACACCAAGAGGCAGGCCCTGATAGGAGCAGCAAAGGAATGTGGAGGGGGTGTAAGAGTTAGGGTGACTCTCTCTGGAGTCCAAGGTTGAGAACAAACACCTGTCCGTGAGTGCAGGCAGCTAGTTACCTCTTCTCCATTGCATGTATTTTCTCCTCAGAGGATTTGTCTCTAAAGGTAGAGTTTATGGTTATGAAGACTTCACATACCTTACAACTTTTTAAAATTTGAATACCTTTATTGAGGCTTTAACTCAGGGCCTCTGGCTCTTGCTGACTTTTTAGCTCAACTGTAACATTCTACCACTTGAGCCACATCTCCACATTGGTGGTTAATTGGACATACGGGTCTCACAGACTTTCCCATCTGGGCTGGCTTTGAACCTTCTATGAGTACTTAGGATTGCAGGTGTGAGCCACTTGTGCCTGCTTTCCTGTAACTCTTGGTTTGTAAAAATTATTTTGCTAAACATTTTATTTCTAGCTTTCATGATTGATTAAGTCTATGACTGTGTAGTTTTAGAGGATAGGAAGAGGAAAGGTGGAAAACTTTTCCAAGATAAAGATTTATAAGATCAATATCTAACATCACAGAATTTTGGCAGGTGATCTGCTTTGGTTCCCGCCTTCCTTTTCTACTTTTGTTTGTCCTTTAGCTTCCCAACCTCTCAGAGAGAGATGCTCCCTTTAAAAAAGTTTTTGTTTTAGGCTGGGAAGGTGGCTCAGTGGAAGAGCACTTGCCTTGCATGCATGAGGCCCTGGTTTCAATTCCTCAGCACCACATAAGAAAAAAGAAAAAAGCCAGAAGTGGCACTGTGGCTCAAGTGGTGGAGTGCTAGCCTTGAGCTGAAGAGCTGAGGGACAGCGCCCAGGCCCAGACTTCAGGCCCCGCGACCGACCGGACCCCAAAAAAAACAAAGTTTTTGTTTTGCTACTTCAAACAAAGCAAGATGCATAGTAGCTGGTAGTTTTGGCTGGGAGTCTAAGAATGTGTTACTTACTGACTAGTGGAAAAAGTCACATTTCCCTCTACTAGAAGTAGCATTTAACAATACACACAAAGCTATTGTTACCTGAGTAAATTTGGAAAGAAGAAATAAATACCACTACCTCCCACCCCAATAACACACAGTCTTCAAAGCTTTAGTGGTCTACAAGAAATTAACTGTGTGTACAAATGTTTGGCTGTTGCCTGGTGTTGCTGGTTTATGTCTATAATCTTAGTTTCTTGAGGCTGAGATGTGAGGATTTCCTTTCAGAGACAGCCAGGGCAGACAAATCTTCCAGACACGATTATCTCCAATTGACAAGCAAAATGTTAGACTGGATGTGTGACTCAAATGATAGAGCACCAGCAGAGCCAAAAAGCCTAGAGAGTGTGAGGCCTGAGGCTGTAAGTTCAAGCCCCAGTACTGGCACCAAAAAATAAATTGAAAAAGAAAGGAAAATCTGTGACAGCAGTGAAAGCCAAGTAGATGTGGTTCACCTAGAACTAGTAACCCTGAACAGTAGAAAGAAGAAAAAGCTGCAGAGTGGGGGTGGAGAGAGGAAGGGATGGGAAGGGGAAACAAAGGAGGAGGCAACAATGCTTGATAAGAAATGTACTCACTATCTTGCCCTTGTAATTGTAACCCCTCTGTATGGTATTTTCACAATAAAAAAAAAAAGAAAAGAAAAGAAAAAGCTGCAGAGCACTCACACAGTTGATTTGAATACTTTTCCTCTCAGCCCTTGTCTTTGGTCTTTTCCTTTTTGTTCTTGCCCTTCCTACTACAGAAAAAAGAGGAATCTATGTCTGTTACTCAGGAGTTTACTTGCTCTTGTCCCAATGTTTGGCAGGCATTGTTTTCAGTTTATGACAGAAACATTACATGCAATGAAAATTAGATACAGGGGCTGGGAAGGTGGCTCAGTGGTAGAGTGCTTGCCTTGCATGCATGAAGCCCTGGGTTCAATCCCTCAGAACCACATAAGCAGAAAAAGCTGGAAATGGTGCTGTGGCTCAAGTGGTAGAGCGCTATCCTTGAGCTGAAAAGTTGAGAGATAGTGCCCAGGCCCAGAGTTCAGGTCCCATGACCAACAACAACAACAAAAAGTTAGATACAAATGAAAATTAGATAGAGCATGAAGTAGTCTGCATTATAAAAATAAGTGTATGATAACCTTTCTATCTATGCTCAATATTAACATTGCAAGTTTTGGGGGATTTTTTGTAGGTCATGGGGTTTGAACTCCGAGCCTGAGCATTGTCCCTCAGCCCAAGGCCAATGCTCTACCACTTGAGCCACAGCGCCACTCCCAGTTTTCTGGTGGTTTATTGGAAATAAAGAGTTTCACGGCCTTTCCTGCCCGGGCTGGCTTTGAATCTCGATCCTCAGATCTCAGCCTCCTGAATAGCTAGATTACAGGCATGAGCCACCGGCGCCCGGCTTTAACATTGCAAGTTTTGAAAGATGCCTAATACCTAAAGAACTCCAAAACTCACTCTATGTCTCAGTCTTGCAATGTACAGTCCTCCGCTTTGGTTTGTCAAGTACTGGGATTACAAGCATGCCACCATACCCAGCATTGTACCTGGGTTTTAATAACCCATATACTTCATTACAGGTCATTAGTTTTGTGTGTGTGTGTGTGTGTGTTTTAGTTTCCAGTTTTAGTCTTTTTTCACTCTCTCAAACTTTGTGTTTAAAGGAGAATTTCTGGAAGCACAAGATTAATATTACAAAGTGTGCATCTCTGATAAGCTGTAGCCTCTTCCCCACGCAGCATCTCATGGAACTGGAAGAACCTGTAGGAAATAATCAGGTGATTATTTCCAGATGGCCTTTTGCGGCATAAGTGTTCTCAGGGCAGATAAACACCTCTTACAACTCAGACTGAACTTCCTAGGAGGCCATCAGAGATCTATTTTCTTTTGAGATGGGGCCCCTTTCAGAACTTGAAAGCTACTATCTGTGTGTTGAGTATTCTGAGTATTCTTAACACAGGAAACTGGGCATCTGAACCTCTCCAGTGATTGCCTTCCCGTCTATGTCTCCAGGTGCCTGTAATTGCTGGCCTTGTGCTGGCAGTGTGCTGCCCAGTCAAGAGGCACCCAGTGATCAATCCACAATGACTGTTTTTTCATTAGGGTGCCTGAAGTGGCTCAGGAACTTCCCCTGACTTCACCCATGGATGACTTCAGGCAGCCACGTTACAGCAGCAGTGGTAACTTAGAAACACCTTCAAAAAGGGCCCTCACAAAGGGAAGAGCAGGAATGTCAAAGAGAACAGAGCCAGACCACTATGAGACAGACTACACGACGGGCGGCGAGTCCTGCGATGAGCTGGAGGAAGACTGGATCAGGTAATGTCTCCTCTCTTTCCTGGAGCCCCTTGCCGTCTTGGTTATCCACAGGATCCACCAGAGTTAGAGCTGCTGCCTCTGAAACTAGCCTCCGTGGGGCCAGTTCACACTCCTCCAGCCAGGGCTGGAGACCCATTTTGGGGTCGTGACTTTTTTTTTTTTAATTGGTGCCCTTTTTGTAATGAAAACTGAGGTGGAAGGAAGATGGGTTGGGTCTATGTGACTGTATTTGTGTCATGCACACTTTCAGCTTCCTGACACAGAGGGTGTAGGGTTCATCATTGCCATCCACCACTAGTCACCCAAGAAAGGCTTTGAAATAAATGCAAAAGCACAGGAGTTAACCTTACCGGATCAGAGTGATATGCATTTTATTTGGCAATTATCTTTATGTTAAGCCTTCCTGATAAGATCATCCTTTCTTCCATCTTTCCTTGCTTCCTCTCTCCCTTCTTCCCTCCCTTTCCCTTCTCCCTTCCCCTTCTCCCCTTCCTTCCCTTTCTTTCTTCCATTCCCTTCCTCCTTCCTTCATTCCTTCATTTTTGTGCCAGTCATGAGGCTTGAACTCAGGGCCTAGTCACTGTCCCTTAGCTTTTTATCACTGAAGGCTTTTTTCATCTACCAGTAGACTTGAGTCAGAGCTCCACTTCCAGCTTTTTGGTGGTTAATTGGAGATAAGAGTCTCACAGACGGGCTGGGAAGGTGGCTCAGTGGTAGAGAGCTTGCATTGAATGCATGAGGCCCTGGGTTCGATTCCTCAGCACCACATAAGCAAAAAGAAAAAAGCTGGAAGTGGCGCTGTGGCTCAAGTGGCACAGCGCTAGCCTTGAGCTGAAGAGCTGAGGGACAGCGCCCAGGCCCAGAGTTCAGGCCCCATGACCGGACCCCCCCCCCCCCCCCCCCCAAAAAAAAAAAAAAAGAGTCTCACAGACTTTTCTACCTGGGCTAGCTTTGAACTCTGATCCTCAGATTTCAACTTCCTAAGTAGCTAGGATTACAGGCATGATCTACTGGCTACTAGATCCATTGTTTCTTTTAAAGTTTAATTCCAAAGAACTCTGGCAAAGAGTTTCCTAAATAGTTGAGGTAACAGTTTAGTGTTCTAGCCAAGGTTGTAGATTCTTTGGCATCTATGGTCAGTTCTAGTTATTTCACCAAATACACACAGGTGTGAATGAATTTCAGCCATTGTGTGCCTAGTACTGGGAGCAGGACACACGTGAGAAATGCTTGCAGTGGGGATGGGGAACACATGGCCTCTCAGGACTGCTGGGGGCCTAGGTGGGGCCCCAGTAGCTTGAAATCCCCTTCTCAGTGAGGGTTATGATGCCTCATTTTCCTTTTCCCTAAGATTTGGGCCAGGGGTCGCCATCTGTCTGTAACCTGTATCCTGGAAAATTGTTGAAATCCTTTTCATCTACTCTCTTCTTCCCATATGATGAAAATATAGACAGTTGAATCTAAGATTTGAAATTCTGTATTCTTATGAAACTTCTTCCTGTGACCCAGCTCATTTTCCCAGGGGTTTGTGGGCGCACAGCCTCCTCATGTATAAGGGGGCACATCGTATGGAATTCCAGCTTCCTTCTTGCCATTTTCATGAGCTGCCAACATCTTTCTCTACCCAGCACAAGTTTTTATATGCTGCTGTGCAGGACCTTGAGCAGGGCGTGCCACATACTGAGCACGTGTGCTAGCACTGAGCTGCCTCCGCAGCCCCAGTGGACGTTTTTAAAGTCTGCTTTTATAAAGAGAGGACAAAATAAGAAGCTCTTTCCACTTAGGAAAAACAAACCCAAAAGTAAATAAATAAGCTGGTCTGAAGACTGTTGGTGGTAGTAGGAAGCAGCCACTCCCTGCCAGCTGCTCTGCAGCGATCAAAAACAGGCCCAGCCTCCAGAATTCCTCTAAAGACTAAACATAAGTGTTCCCGATCTCATGTACCAAGAATAAACGAGTTCCTATCCCAGAACCTTGAAGTTCATAAGTAATTTCCAGTTTCATTCCTAAAATGGTGAGCAAGGTTTTTTTTTTTTTTTTTTTTTTTTTTTTTTTTTTTTTTTATTGTAAAGCTACTATACAGAGGGTCACAGTTACATGAGTGAGGTTATGAGTACACTTCCTCTTGAACATTGTTACCCCCCTCCATTGTTTTCCCCCTACCATCCCCTCCCTCCCTCCCTTCCCCGAGGTTCTTTTTTTTTTTTTTTTTTTTTTTTTTGATTGTGATTAAATGATTACATAATTTCAAAGTCACAAGTTCATTCTAACTTCCCTGGAGCAAATTGTCTACCACAGTCTGTAATATATAACAGTGTTCACATGTTATATACCATATTTGTGATCAGCAGCATGAGGATATTTAGTAGTGGTTCAACCAGATGAGCGGGAGTTCTTTGTTTCTTAAGTCCTGTTAGTTTTGTCGTATCACTAACATTTTGGATTTAGCATCCACTTATGAGGGAGACCATGTACCGTTTGTCTCTTCGTTCTTGGCTTACCTCGCTCAACATGATTCCTTCTAGCTCCATCCATTTCCCTGCAAATGCCATTATTTTGTCATTTCTAATGGCTGCATAATATTCCATTGTGTATAGATACCACAATTTTTGGATCCATTCATCTGTGGTGGGGCACCTAGGTTGTTTCCATATCCTAGCTATTGCGAACAGCGCTGCAATAAACATGGAGGTGCACGTGTCCTTGTATATTGGTTCCTGTTGTTCAGGGTAGATGCCTAGAAGTGGTATGACTGGGTCGTAAGGGAGGTCAATCTTTAGCTTTCTAAGGACCCTCCAGACTGCTTTCCAAAGTGGTTGTATAAGTGTACATTCCCACCAGCAGTGTAATAGGGTTCCTCTTTCTCCACATCCCCTCCAGCATTTGTCGTTGGCTGATTTGTGGATGTGGGACATTCTGACTGGGGTAAGGTGGTATCTCAGGGTTGTCTTTATTTGCATTTCCTTCACCACCAGGGATGATGAACATTTCCTCATGTGTTTCTTTGCCATTTTTATTTCTTCATTTGAGAAGTCCCTCTTTAGTTCCCTTGCCCATTTAGTAATTGGTTTGTTAGGTTTGGGAGGGATTAGTTTCTTGAGTTCCCTGTATATACAGGATGTTAACCCCTTGTCTGATATATTGCTGGTAAATATTTTTTCCCAATTAGTTGGTTGTCTTTCTAGCTTAGTTGCGATAGATTTAGCTGTGCAGAAGCTTTTTATTTTAAGGTAGTCCCATTTGTCGAGTCTCTCTCCAACTTGTTGTGACCCTGGGACTCTGTTCAGGAAGTTCCTTCCTGTGCCTATTAGTTCAAGTGTCTCTCCTACTCTGTCCTGCAGTAGTTTCAGAGATTCAGGTTTAATGTTAAGGTCTTTAATCCATTTTGAGTTGATGTTGGTGCATGGTGATAGGCTGGGGTCCACTTTTAGTTTTCTGCATGTGGCTGCCCAGTTTTCCCAGCACCAGCGGTTGAAGAGGCTGTGTTTCTTCCATTGTATGTCTTTGGCTCCTTTGTCGAATATCAGCTGGCTGTAGGCCTGTGGATTTATATCTGGATCTTCTATTCTGTTCCATTGGTCTTCGGGTCTGTTTTTGTGCCAGTACCATGCTGTCTTTGTGATTATAGCTCTGTAGTAGAGTTTGAAGTTCGGCATGGATAGCCCTCCCATATTGTCTTTATCCCCTAGAATTGTTTTGGCTATTCTAGGTCTTTTGTTGTTCCATATAAATTTTTGGACTGTTTTCTGTATTTCAGTGATGTACGTCATTGGGATTTTAATAGGAATTGCATTGAATTTGTATATTAATTTTGGAAGTATCACCATCTTTACTATATTAAGTCGGCCTATCCAGGAGCATGGGAGGTCTTTCCATTTCCTAGTGTCTTCTGCAATTTCTTTCTTTAACTTTTTATAGTTCTCATTAAATAGTTCTTTTACATCTTTGGTTAGGTTAATTCCTAAATATTTTATTTTTTGGGAGGTTATTGTGAATGGGGTTGCTCCCTTTATTTCCCTCTCTTCCTGTGCGTTATCAGTATATAGGAAGGCAACTGATTTTTGTGGGTTTATTTTGTATCCTGCTATTTTGCCGAAGTGACTTATGATTTCTAAAAGTTTGGGGATGGAGTTTTTGGGATCGTGGAGGTATAGTATCATGTCGTCTGCAAAAAGGGATAGTTTCACTTCTTCTTTCCCTATGCGGATCCCTTTAATGTCTTTTTCTTGCCTTATTGCCCTGGCTAAGGGTTCTAGGACTATGTTGAAGAGGAGTGGAGACAGTGGACATCCTTGCCTTGTTCCTGTTTTTAGGAGGATTGGTTGTAGCTTTTCCCCATTAAGTATAATATTGGCTATTGGTCTGTCATAAATGGCTTTTATTGTTTTTAGAAATGTTCCTTCTATTCCTATTTTCTCCAGAGCTTTTAGCATGAATGAATGTTGAATTTTATCAAAGGCCTTTTCTGCATCTGTGGCGATAATCATGTGATTCTTGACCTTGGCTCTGTTGATATGCTGGATTACATTTATTGACTTACGTATGTTAAACCATCCCTGTGTCTCTGGGATGAAGCCTACCTGATCATAGTGTATTATTTTTTTTATGTGTTTCTGGATTCTGTTAGCTAGAATCTTGTTAAGGATCTTTGCATCTGTGTTCATCAAGGAGATTGGCCTGTAATTCTCCTTTTTGGTTGGGTCTTTGCCTGGTTTGGGGATGAGTGTGATATTGGCTTCGTAGAATGAGTTTGGGATAGCTCCCTCCTTCTCTGTTTCTCTGAAGAGCTTGAGGAGTATGGGTATTAGTTCTTCTTTAAAGGTCTTATAGAATTCTGCTGTGAATCCATCTGGTCCTGGGCTTTTTTTTGTTGGAAGACTTTTGATAGCTTCCTGTATCTCATTATAGGATATTGGCTTATTTAATTGGTTAACTTCTTCTTTGCTCAGTTTGGGTAACTTGTATTTCTCTAAAAATGCATCCATTTCCGCCAGATTTTC